TTGCATTAACTGACTACACAACAGCCTCAACCAACTACACAATTGCATTAACTGACTACACAACAGCCTCAACCAACCACCCAACAGCCTCGACCAACCACACAACAGTCTCGACCAGCCACAAAACAGCTTCATCCAACCACACAACAGACTCAACCAACAACACAACTATAGCCTCAACCAACTACACAATAGCATCAATTGACGACACAACAGCCTCCACCAACCACACAACGTCTTCAACAAGCCACAAAACAGCTTCAACTAACCACACAACAGACTCAACGAACAACACAACAGCTTAAGCCAACTACACAATAGCATCAACCAACTACACAACAGTCTCGACCAACTACACAATAGCATCAACCAACCACACAACAACCTCAAAAAAACTACTCAATAGCATCAACGAACCACACAACAGCCTCAAATTTGCTTGAAGTCATCGAAGATGAGGGTATCACAAAAAGTCTCACAGCTACTTTAAAGCCGTAGAGGCCGCATTTCAATTTCAAAACATGTCAGGTTTATCAGATCATACGATCTGATAAACCTAGTGTATATATATTAGATTATATGATCTGATAAACTTAGTTTATGGTTACTATATCACAGGATCTGATAAACTACTTTTGTGTTCGATCCCTATAGAGACCGAACACTTGACTCACTAGAGAGTCTTAGTCAGTTATCCAAAAATATAATAAAGACGCAACGTCTCCCTGAACGTTCAGATATAGTTATTCGAGCGTAACTTACTACATCCTTCCGGCAGAATCATGTAAACTGCCGTGTCAAGTTTGGAATTAAAAAAATGCATTATCAACATCGAAGTGATGTATTCATGGTTTGGCGGCTGCTTGCTTTGGCGATGAATAATCGAAGAGCCGTGGCAGAGATGGCAGAAGAATACGTGTGTGTATAAGAGTCACCTTCCAATTGTTCGTCTCCTATGGCAAACATTCGTATCTTGTAGCAGATAGGCTTACCAGTTTCGTTAAATTTTTGGACGAAAACATACTTAGAATGGATACCTTTGGTACCCTGAGGAATAGCAGACACGGGAACAATGTCAGCCAAATCATTCAACTGATGTGCTTTGAATTCCATCTGAATAGCATCTTGCCATTGATCCCAATCGTCAAACTCCGTAGCCAAGGATGTGGACTTGAGAACGCTGTCATCAAAGAGAGAGATGGCTTCCAGCATTGTCATCTCATCACGAATTGGTGCTGGGTCTACGACAGTGGCAGTCGTAGCCACGTAGTTAGTGTTTTCCTGGATAGCTTCGTAATATTTGGAGTCTTCGTCGTTGTCAGACAAATCAATAATATCGGGTAATTCCGTAGAGTGCTTATTTGCGACAAGAGAAAGATCAGGTTTGGAATCAGAATGCTGATTATTGTCTGGAAGCAAAGGGTAGCTGGTGGCATCGGTGGAATGATAGGCATCGGAGTAGGTGGTAGAGATATAATTACGGTGGGCGCCGCAGGCTGTGTTGAGAAATATTGCCGTGGTGGTAACCGGAGTTTGAGGAATAGAAAGCCAGAAGGAGGCGTGTCTAAGACATGAGGAACAATCACAGTGGGAACGGTCGCCTGAGTATGCCAATCCGATTGTATGGCATGACTTTGGAGAGTATTGGATCGAGTCGCTCTTTTCCATTAGCTGACCACTGTGGTTTATCGTCAGAGAGAAACTGAACATTGCGTGATGATATTCTGCGTTGCGTCTCAAGACTTTGGATAAAAATATGTGTCCTCAGTGCCTGTGGCGCTTCGTCCGACTAGTACACCGTGATGACATTGAGTGCCATATTTGTGCTTGTCTTTGCGTTTGCCTTCCATATTGTATAGAGCAACGCAGCCGAATCGAGCACGATAATACCGAGTAGGGGTCACTTGGTGCAAGATCTCAGATGGTGTACGAATAATTGAATCAGTGCCGGGTGTTTCATTGCGATTACGGTCGGCTCATTTCTTAGCATCAGACCATAGTCTACAGGGCATGCCAGCGCCTAGTAGGAATAAACGGACTATAACATTCAAGAACTTTATGACTACTTCCAACCTTGGCATTCATTTGCGGTGTGTACGGAGGGTTAGATCGAACATTGTTACTTTGAGAAAGTAGCTTGTATGTAGAAGTCAGACTAACCAGGCTGACTATCGGTTTCAATAAGTTAACGTAAAAGAAAAGTAAGATTTCAAAGTAAATTTGCACAATGTAATTTAAGTTTAGCTTCAACCCTTGGTATTGAGCTAAAGATTGGGGGATGTCAGACTGAGACTATTATCTATATGGTTCCGCTCTAATCACTCAATACTTCGGTCTAGATTTATTCGGTGTCAATAACTAAGAACAGATTTCATTTCATTGGATGCATGATATTTCCTTCAATATTATTTCATGCCTCGAAACTACCTCCCAATCACAATTACCAATAAAAAGAACTCTAAGTATACTTCATTTCATTGAATGCATGGTACTTCCTTCTACAATGCCTTGAAACTACCTCCCAATCGCAATTACAAATAAAATAACTCGAAGTCCAACTTAAGAAAAATAAAAGAAATCCAAAACACCATGATGGTACAGTTAAATGTCTGTACCTATACCCCATCACATGGTACCTAGCTCTCCATCCCATTGAAGGCATAGACGGGCACATCTAGTTGGCCGGCTAGGGGGGGTCATTTTCATGTCCCATTTCTCAGTAGGCTATCTCGCGCTCTCAGAGTATTTGGTAATACAGCATGTGTCATCAAGTGTCAATACCACCTGAGACTCACCCAGTGTTGTATCCCTATATTCTGATGGAAAACATATCTTTGTAGAAAAACCATCATATCAATATTAACAGAGTCTCTCGGCCTCTGTCGTATACAATTGTAATTCCAAATATCCAAATTAGATTATTTGTTTGTCTGTTTTCTGTAAATTCAATATATCTATAATTAGATTATTTGATTATTATACAGATACAATTATCGACAATTGTGTTTCAACGTATACCAGGTTTTATAAACGTAATAGCGTTTAGACGTTCATGCGTTTATAATATACGATAACATGTGCTTCTACTATATGAACCCGCTGATTTTACACTGGCAAGGTGTTTAGAGTTGGTAATGTTGTCACCATGAGGGGCCATATTTTCCTTGTCGTTGAGAAGCATATGTAGACCATAGCGTGAGCCATCGCAAATCATATTGAGTGCATATCGAAATCCGAAATGACACTCAGGCACGGGACCTTGGAGGTCCACATGAAATCGGTTGCCTGGTCTATAGACAGATACAGGATTATGATGTGGGACTGCTTTGACTTTTATTTTGCCCTCTGTGCAGATAGGGCAATGCTTGTCGAATTCAGGATTGGCGAGGTATATGTATTTGCGGCTTGGAGATGTTCAACTGGGACAACAGTGGTGGTAGGAGGGCCCATGATGAGGACCAGGGGGAATGTCCATGAAGGTACACCGACTTGCTGTGCTTGGTATGATGTATGGAGGTCGTCGAATGCGGCTGATAAGCATGGTCCATCATGTAGCACAAGGTCGTAGAGGAACTACGAAGGTAAGCGTAATACCAAGTCGAAAAATGAGTTCGACAATGACTTTTATGAGGCTCCAGCCGGGGTTAGCGTACGCGTCTTCGAGAATGGGATCGGGCTTGCTCCAGTCACTGTAGAGTACGCCCCCACCTCCCCCCCCCTATCAGGACCGAAGAACCAGGGTAGTCGCGCATTAGATTTCGATACACAAATGCCTAAACTGTCTATGGTGGGAGTACACTCAAGAAATGCCATTGCCTATGTCCAATCGATACTATCAAGCATACAATTTTCGGTTTTAACATTAACTGGTGGCGGAAATGTTAGTTTGTCGCCGTCGCGTTTAGCCAGTTGTAATGTCATTTTACGACTGCAATGACCTTGATTAGCATAATAGTTGTCGTAAATTTGAACATCGACCGGTCGAGTGGGGTTGGTGTCAGAACGAAGAACAGGCGGCGATGGTGGTGATGTCGTGTCAGCGAGAAATCTTGGTGTAAGATTCGGTATAATAAGGCGATATTAACGCCTTATAGTAAATAAACGCGCAGGTAAATTCTAAGTATCGTGAAAATATCAAAGTAAATCAACGAAATGAGACTTTTAGTAAAGTTAGGTATGCCTCGTGAAAACATCAATACTCTGAGGGATTGTGAGGCTGAGACATTGCCTATATATAATTCTCTCAGTACTGTTTCCGCCGAAGGGATTTTATTTAGTGTTTCGTTGTCGCTCTATTAGAAACTATGGTATGTTTCGTTGGGGCGAATCTGAGAGACTCATTAAATCCTATCTTTAGAAGAAGAATAAAAATACTCTTGATGTCCTTAGTTCTTGTCTTAACCAATAACTTGCCACTTATCAAGAATTACCGACTTAGCCTTCATTAGACTGGCACATCTGGTTGGC